ACACACACACACACACACACACACACACATATATATATATATATATGTGCTACATGAAAGTATATTAATTGCATCTATTTTGGCTTTCCTCTGTGCTCGCTGTGTAGATGCGAGTTTAAAAGAGATAGTGGCGCAACTCGTACGCCTTGGCTATCTCAAAGCCGAAACCAAGTCTACTGCGTACAGAAAGTACTTGTCATACAACATCACCAAAAAGGGATCACATGCGATAGAGATGCAGTCTCCTATCATGATGCCTGTGCTAGCTGTGGTTCGTGAGAACGAGCAGGTTAAAGAGGAGCAAAAGGTGAGACACGTGCACTTTTCAGTGTCATATTAGCCCCAGCGTATAGTATTTTCAAGCTCGCCTACGCGCCGAGCACAGTACTTAACATGTCATAGTGTGGATCCACAGGATTTGTACATAGTATGCATCTATGTGACCGTGTCCTATTTCTGTGATTTTTTTTTTGCGACACGAACTTATACATGTGGTTAAGTTATCATCCTCATCTAGTTTATTTTGGGACAGTTGCGTATAACATTGCTATACTAGAGAGAAGCCTCAAATGGTGCCACATTTCAATCTCTTACATCTTGTGTATCGCTTACTTTAAAACGTAAAGAGCTATGTTTCGTATATCAGACGCGTTTGCCATCTTTGTAGGCGCGAATTATTCTTGGTATAAAGACGTTAGTTATGACTTGAACGAGCGAAGATATTGGAGTGCTTGAAATTCAATATTCAGACCTCTAAATTTGATTTGTCGTTCCTTCTCGATGCTCTTAACATTCGACTCGTACAAAATGTTGAATTGTCATGCCAATCGCAAATATATGATATCACTTAGCAAGTTTGAATTCTGAAAGTCTCTATTATCGGCACAACCTGATCCAACCATAGAGCTATATCTATCCATGTATGTACCATTGACAAACTCAACAGGTGGGGTTTCTGAGGATGCGAGACCCGACACCATGTTAATTTTGAATTGTTTACATCAATAGGTTGAGTGTTTTTAGCTACTGCGAACAATTACTAGACAACAACATAACAACCTCTTCTGCACCATAAATAATGTTTGCCAGATTCAACGAGTAAAACTACTGGAAGATGCGGGAATAGACACCAATCTGATTCCGCCCACAGAGTTGCAAGTCGGCGCGGGGCCTTCCGTTACTGCTCATCTGCAATGGCTTAAATACCTTAAAAAGTAAGTATCTGTGCATGATCTATGCACACACACAAAAATACCTTTGTGCATATGGCGTAAAATATGTATATACACACATTGTATTGTATGCAAATCTATTGGTGTACCGGTTCAAGGTTCCGTTGTCTCGTCTACATTCATGTCAGTGTATGTACAGTCATAATATACCTGAGAATACAATGCTCAGTGCAGATTCCACGTGAGAGCGAGCACTTCTTGAGTCATTTACACTCATTCAAAAGTAGGAGCGGACGAAATGCACAGCCAACATAGCGGCCAGTCTATCTACAGTAAAAAGTGTTTTAATAATTTCTGCCCATTCTCCGTGTGTGTGCGAGTAATCCTTGTGCAATTCATTGCAAACTCAATACTGTATGTTTTGATCTACGCATTTCAATCCACGCGCTCGCCACACTGTTCGATAATGTGTGCGTCCATAAACGTGTTTAAGACTATTCGCGTATGTTTGAATATATTCTCGTTGGGGCATGTATTTATTCCCCCATACGTATATATAGGCATCTATACATCACTGAGGAGTGTGACGTATATCTATGTATATGCTTGCAGGTAGGCTTCTACCTCCTCATTACATACTGGCTGCGGGATCCTTTTAAGAACTTTGTCCTATATAGGCAACCTCAGATTCTTCGTTAGTATACACGAGGACGCTTGCCGTTGGAATAAACCTTAGTCTCGTTGTTTGGCACCCTCTCACACAAGTCCTGCGACATTTACAGAGATTTATTTAAGCTCTTCCATGGTTCTCATGAAGTATGAAGTTTATACGCATGCTGTTGTACGAGAGTATATAATATCCATACGAACTCTTTAATCAAGCGAACGTGACCTTCTGTATGTATTTGCACCAGTTGCAGTCCGCATTTTCATACTCTGTATTAATGGTATTACATTTTATGTGGATGCTCTCTCCTGGAAGTCGTATATACGTGTGAGACATATACATTTTATCCTCA